ACCACCAGGATCACTGTGTCGTCTACCACCAGGATCACTGTCGTCTACCACCAGGATCACTGTGTCGTCTACCACCAGGATCACTGTGTCGTCTACCACCAGGATCACTGTGTCGTCTACCACCAGGATCACTGTGTCGTCTACCACCAGGATCACTGTGTCGTCTACCACCAGGATCACTGTGTCGTCTACCACCAGGATCACTGTGTCGTCTACCACCAGGACTACTGTGTCGTCTACCACCAGGATCATTGTGTCGTCTACCACCAGGACTACTGTGTCGTCTACCACCAGGATCACTGTGTCGTCTACCACCAGGATCACTGTGTCGTCTACCACTAGGACTACTGTGTCGTCTACCACCAGGACTACTGTGTCGTCTACCACCAGGATTTCTGTGGAGGACTGCACGAGGATCTGATTCCTGTGAGACGAATTAGTAGGAAATATTGTATCATCTCAGTAGCCATCCAGATACTGCGTCTCCAGGACGCAGGAAGTCAGAACATTACATGTGTAATATGTGAGGTGTCATCACTACCTTGTGTAACAAGTGCCACTACCTCGTGTAACAAGTGTCATCACTACCTTGTATAACAAGTGTCATCACTACCTTGGGTAACAAGTGTCATCACTACCTTGTGTAACAAGTGTCATCACTACCTTGTGTAACAAGTGTCATCACTACCTTGTGTAACAAGTGTCATCACTACCTTGTGTAACAAGTGTCATCACTACCTTGTATAACAAGTGTCATCACTACCTTGGGTAACAAGTGTCATCACTACCTTGTGTAACAAGTGTCATCACTACCTTGTGTAACAAGTGTCATCACTACCTTGTGTAACAAGTGTCATCACTACCTTGTGTAACAAGTGTCATCACTACCTTGTGTAACAAGTGTCATCACTACCTTGTATAACAAGTGTCATCATTACCTTGTGTAACAAGTGTCATCACTACCTTGTGTAACAAGTGTCATCACTACCTTGTGTAACAAGTGTCATCACTACCTTGTGTAACAAGTGTCATCACTACCTTGTGTAACAAGTGTCATCATTACCTTGTGTAAACAAGTGTCATCACTACCTTGTGTAACAAGTGTCATCACTACCTTGTGTAACAAGTGTCATCACTACCTTGTGTAACAAGTGTCATCACTACCTTGTGTAACAAGTGTCATCACTACCTTGTGTAACAAGTGTCATCAGTACCATGTGTAACAAGTGTCATCACTACCTTGTGTAACAAGTGTCATCAACTACCTTGTGTAACAAGTGTCATCACTACCTTGTGTAACAAGTGTCATCAGTACCATGTGTAGCAAGTGTCATCACTACCTTGTGTAACAAGTGTCATCACTACCTTGTGTAACAAGTGTCATCACTACCTGTGTAACAAGTGTCATCACTACCTTGTGTAACAAGTGTCATCACTACCTTGTGTAACAAGTGTCATCACTACCTTGTGTAACAAGTGTCATCACTACTTGTGTAACAAGTGTCATCACTACCTTGTGTAACAAGTGTCATCACTACCTTGTGTAACAAGTGTCATCACTACCTTGTGTAACAAGTGTCATCACTACCTTGTGTAACAAGTGTCATCAGTACCATGTGTAGCAAGTGTCATCACTACCTTGTGTAACAAGTGTCATCACTACCTTGTGTAACAAGTGTCATCACTACCTTGTGTAACAAGTGTCATCACTACCTTGTGTAACAAGTGTCATCACTACCTTGTGTAACAAGTGTCATCACTACCTTGTGTAACAAGTGTCATCAGTACCATGTGTAGCAAGTGTCATCACTACCTTGTGTAACAAGTGTCATCACTACCTTGTGTAACAAGTGTCATCACTACCTTGTGTAAACAAGTGTCATCACTACCTTGTGTAACAAGTGTCATCACTACCTTGTGTAACAAGTGTCATCACTACCTTGTGTAACAAGTGTCATCACTACCTGTGTAACAAGTGTCATCATTACCTTGTGGAACAAGTGTCATCACTACCTTGTGTAATAAGTGTCATCACTATCTTGTGTAACAAGTGTCATCACTACCTTGTGTAACAAGTGTCATCACTACCTTGTGTAACAAGTGTCATCATTACCTTGTGTAACAAGTGTCATCACTACCTTGTGTAACAAGTGTCATCACTACCTTGTGTAACAAGTGTCATCACTACCTTGTGTAACAAGTGTCATCACTACCTTGTGTAACAAGTGTCATCACTACCTTGTGTAACAAGTGTCATCACTACCTTGTGTAACAAGTGTCATCACTACCTTGTGTAACAAGTGTCATCACTACCTTGTGTAACAAGTGTCACACTACCTTGTGTAACAAGTGTCATCACTACCTTGTGTAACAAGTGTCATCACTACCTTGTGTAACAGTGTCATCAGTACCATGTATAGCAAGTGTCCATCACTACCTTGTGTAACAAGTGTCATCACTACCTTGTGTAACAAGTGTCATCACTACCTTGTGTAACAAGTGTCATCACTACCTTGTGTAACAAGTGTCATCACTACCTTGTGTAACAAGTGTCATCACTACCTTGCGGAACAAGTGTCATCACTACCTTGTGTAACAAGTGTCATCACTATCTTGTGTAACAAGTGTCATCACTACCTTGTGTAACAAGTGTCGTCATTATCTTGTGTAACAAGTGTCATCACTACCTTGTGTAACAAGTGTCATCACTACCTTGTGTAACAAGTGTCATCACTACCTTGTGTAACAAATATCATCACTACCTTGTGTAACAAGTGTCATCTTTACCTTGTGTAACAAGTGTCATCACTACCTTGTGTAACAAGTGTCATCACTACCTTGTGTAACAAGTGTCATCACTACCTTGTGTAACAAGTGTCCTTCACTACCTTGGTGTAACAAGTGTCATCACAACCTTGTGTAACAAGTGTCATCACTACCTTGTGTAACAAGTGTCATCACAACCTTGTGTAACAAGTGTCATCACTACCTTGTGTAACAAGTGTCATCACAACCTTGTGTAACAAGTGTCATCACTACCTTGTGTAACAAGTGTCTTCACTACCTTGTGTAACAAGTGTCATCACAACCTTGTGTAACAAGTGTCATCACTACCTTGTGTAACAAGTGTCATCACAACCTTGTGTAACAAGTGTCATCATTACCTTGTGTAACAAGTGTCATCACTACCTTGTGTAACAAGTGTCATCATTACCTTGTGTAACAAGTGTCATCACAACCTTGTGTAACAAGTGTCATCACAACCTTGTGTAACAAGTGTCATCACTACCTTGTGTAACAAGTGTCATCACAACCTTGTGTAACAAGTGTCATCACTACCTTGTGTAACAAGTGTCATCATTACCTTGTGTAACAAGTGTCATCACTACCTTGTGTAAGAAGTGTCATCACTACCTTGTGTAACAAGTGTCATCACTACCTTGTGTAACAAGTGTCATCACTACCTTGTGTAAGAAGTGTCATCACTACCTTGTGTAACAAGAGTCATCACTACCTTGTGTAACAAGTGTCATCACTACCTTGTATAACAAGTGTCATCACTACCTTGTGTAACAAGAGTCATCACTACCTTGTGTAACAATGTCCATCACTACCTGTGTAACAAGAGTCATCACTTCCTTGTGTAACAAGTGTCATCACTACCTTGTGTAAGAAGTGTCATCACTACCTTGTTGTAACAGAGTCATCACTACCTTGTGTAACAAGTGTCATCACTACCTTGTATAACAAGTGTCATCACTACCTTGTGTAACAAGTGTCATCACTACCTTGTGTAACAAGAGTCATCACTACCTTGTGTAACAAGAGTCATCACTACCTTGTGTAACAAGTGTCATCACTACCTTGTGTAACAAGTGTCATCACTACCTTGTATAACAAGTGTCATCACTACCTTGTGTAACAAGTGTCATCACTACCTTGTGTAACAAGAGTCATCACTACCTTGTGTAACAAGAGTCATCACTACCTTGTGTAACAAGTGTCATCACTACCTTGTGTAACAAGAGTCATCACTACCTTGTGTAACAAGTGTCATCACTACCTTGTGTAACAAGAGTCATCACTACCTTGTGTAACAAGAGTCATCACTACCTTGTGTAACAAGAGTCATCACTACCTTGTGTAACAAGTGTCATCATTACCTTGTGTAACAAGTGTCATCACTACCTTGTGTAACAAGTGTCATCACTACCTTGTATAACAAGTGTCATCACTACCTTGTGTAACAAGTGTCATCACTACCTTGTGTAACAAGTGTCATCACTACCTTGTGTAACAAGTGTCATCACTACCTTGTGTAACAAGTGTCATCACTACCTTGTATAACAAGTGTCATCACTACCTTGTATAACAAGTGTCATCACTACCTTGTGTAACAAGTGTCATCATTACCTTGTGTAACAAGTGTCATCACTACCTTGTATAACAAGTGTCATCACTACCTTGTGTAACAAGTGTCATCACTACCTTGTGTAACAAGTGTCATCATTACCTTGTGTAACAAGTGTCATCATTACCTTGTGTAACAAACTCTCTCATTATTCCTCTTTTCTTTATACATCTTCGTCCGATTTTCATTTCTCTTTCTTATCGACTCTCTTAAGTCCTTTATAATTTCGTTCACTTTCAATCCATTTTAAAACAGTTTCTCCACTCTATCACGGTGTCCTGCTTCCTCAGACACTTTTAATTACCTGCCTAGTTTCAGCTTGATAAATAAAAGGACCCAAGTGCAACTAATGCAACATTTCATTGTTGCAACATTATATTGTGTCTTCATCAAGCTGTTACGGCTTGATGAAACTCCTGGAGAACGAAACGTTGCCACAATAAAACGTGATATTAGTTGCGCTTGCGTCTTTTTAGCTAACATATTATCGGTAATTCTTCCAACATCAGTACGATCTGGTTTCAGTTTGTCTTCCTGAGCAGCTGTGCCAGATGATGCTTGAAATTTTAATATGACGCCGCTGTTACAGGCTCAGTTCGCATTGAGAGGAATCCCAGGCTGTGTTACCTTCACACTGTCGACTGGTCCAGCATCACTCTGAACCCTCTAGTTGAGAACTACGTCAATGTGAGTACCTGAAGGGAAGGAGGGAGGGAGGGAGTGTGAGAAGGCTATGTATGTCTCTCATCATGACACCTTTGGATGAGAAATACATCAGTTTATGATCTGTAGGGACGGAGGGGAGAATAAGGTGATAGGAAATGAAGGAGAGTTGAAGAGAGAGAAGAAATGAGGATGGGAAGGGAGGGAGAAAGGAAGATAAATAATACAGAGGAACAAAGAATGAGGAAGTCAAGGTTGAGTTGAAAGTTGAAGGAATAAGAGTTGACTGTTCCATCGTCACACTCAACTGACTGCTCCATTCTCACACTCAACTGACTGCTCCATTCTCACACTCAACTGACTGCTCCATTCTCACACTCAACTGACTGCTCCATTCTCACACTCAACTGACTGCTCCATTCTCACACTCAACTGACTGCTCCATTCTCACACTCAACTGACTGCTCCATTCTCACACTCAACTGACTGCTCCATTCTCACACTCAACTGACTGCTCCATCTTCACACTCAACTGACTGCTCCATTCTCACACTCAACTGACTGCTCCATTCTCACACTCAACTGACTGCTCCATTCTCACACTCAACTGACTGCTCCATTCTCCCACTCAACTGACTGCTCCATTCTCACACTCAACTGACTGCTCCATTCTCACACTCAACTGACTGCTCCATCTTCACACTCAACTGACTGCTCCATTCTCACACTCAACTGATTGCTCCATTCTCACACTCAACTGACTGCTCCATCCTCACACTCAACTGACTGCTTCCATTCTCACACTCAACTGACTGCTCCATTCTCACACTCAACTGACTGCTCCATTCTCACACTCACTGACTGCTCCATTCTCACACTCAACTGACTTCTCCATTCTCACACTCAACTGACTGCTCCATCCTCACACTCAACTGACTGCTCCATTCTCACACTCAACTGACTGCTCCATTTTCACACTCAACTGACTGCTCCATCCTCACACTCAACTGACTGTTCCATTCTCACACTCAACTGACTGCTCCATTCTCACACTCAACTGACTGCTCCATTCTTACACTCAACTGACTGCTCCATCCTCACACTCAACTGACTGCTCCATTCTCACACTCAACTGACTGCTCCATTCTCACACTCAACTGACTGCTCCATCCTCACACTCAACTGACTGCTCCATTCTCACACTCAACTGACTGCTCTATTCTCACTCTCAACTGACTGCTCCATTCTCACACTCAACTGACTGCTCAACCTCACACTCAACTGACTGCTCCATTCTCACACTCAACTGACTGCTCCATCCTCACACTCAACTGACTGCTCCATTCTCACACTCAACAGAATGCTCCATTCTCACACTCAACTGACTGCTCCATTCTCACACTCAACTGACTGCTCCATTCTCACACTCAACTGACTGCTCCATGGTCACACTCAACTGACTGCTCCATTCTCACACTCAACTGACTGCTCTATTCTCACTCTCAACTGACTGCTCCATTCTCACACTCAACTGACTCCTCAACCTCACACTCAACTGACTGCTCCATTCTCACACTCAACTGACTGCTCCAACCTCACACTCAATTGACTGCTCCATCTTTACACTCAACTGACTGCTCCATTCTCACACTCAACTGACTGCTCAACCTCACGCTCAAGTGACTGCTCCATCCTCACAATCAATTGACTGCTCCATTCTCACACTCAACTGACTGCTGCATCCTCACTCTCAACTGACTGCTCCATTCTCACACTCAACTGACTGCTCCATCCTCACACTCAAGTGACTGCTGCATCCTCACACTCAACTGACTGCTCCATCCTCACACTCAAGTGACTGCTGCATCCTCACATTCAACTGACTGCTCCATTCTCACACTCAACTGATTGCTCCATCCTCACACTCAACTGACTGCTCCATCCCCACACTCAACTGACTGCTCCATCCTCACACTCAAGTGACTGCTGCATCCTCACATTCAACTGACTGCTCCATCCTCACACTCAACTGACTGCTCCATCCTCACACTCAACTGACTGCTCCATCCTCACATTCAACTGACTGCTCCATCCTCACACTCAACTGACTGCTCCATCCTCACATTCAACTGACTGCTCCATCCTCACACTCAACTGACTGCTCCATCCTCACATTCAACTGACTGCTCCATCCTCACACTCAACTGACTGCTCCATCCTCACACTCAACTGACTGCTCCATCCTCACACTCAACTGACTGCTCCATTCTCACACACTCAACTGATTGCTCCATCCTCACACTCAACTGACTGCTCCATCCTCACATTCAACTGACTGCTCCATCCTCACACTCAACTGACTGCTCTATCCTCACACTCAACTGACTGCTCCATCCTCACACTCAACTGACTGCTCTATCCTCACACTCAACTGACTGCTCCATCCTCACACTCAACTGACTGCTCCATCCTCACACTCAACTGACTGCTCCATCCTCACACTCAACTGACTGCTCCATCCTCACACTCAACTGACTGCTCCATCCTCACACTCAACTGACTGCTCTATCCTCACACTCAACTGACTGCTCCATCCTCACACTCAACTGACTGCTCCATTCTCACACTCAACTGATTGCTCCATCCTCACACTCAACTGACTGCTCCATCCTCACACTCAACTGACTGCTCCATCCTCACACTCAACTGACTGCTCTATCCTCACACTCAACTGACTGCTCCATCCTCACACTCAACTGACTGCTCCATTCTCACACTCAACTGATTGCTCCATCCTCACACTCAACTGACTGCTCCATCCTCACATTCAACTGACTGCTCCATTCTCACACTCAACTGATTGCTCCATCCTCACACTCAACTGACTGCTCCATTCTCACATTCAACTGACTGCTCCATCCTCACACTCAACTGACTGCTCCATCCTCACACTCAACTGACTGCTCCATCCTCACATTCAACTGACTGCTCCATCCTCACACTCAACTGACTGCTCTATCCTCACACTCAACTGACTGCTCCATCCTCACACTCAACTGACTGCTCCATTCTCACACTCAACTGATTGCTCCATCCTCACACTCAACTGACTGCTCCATCCTCACATTCAACTGACTGCTCCATCCTCACACTCAACTGACTGCTCTATCCTCACACTCAACTGACTGCTCCATCCTCACACTCAACTGACTGCTCCATCCTCACACTCAACTGACTGCTCCATCCTCAACACTCAACTGACTGCTCCATCCTCACACTCAACTGACTGCTCCATCCTCACACTCAACTGACTGCTCCATCCTCACACTCAACTGACTGCTCCATCCTCACACTCAACTGACTGCTCCATCCTCACACTCAACTGACTGCTCCATCCTCACACTCAACTGACTGCTCCATCCTCACACTCAACTGACTGCTCCATCCTCACACTCAACTGACTGCTCCATCCTCACACTCAACTGACTGCTCCATCCTCACACTCAACTGACTGCTCCATCCTCACACTCAACTGAGTGGCAAAACAATAATAATTGGTTATATTGTAATGGGATACATTAGCATAGCGAACACAACTGGTTGATCAGACCCTGATCCACCAGGGGGCCTGGTCTCAGACCGTTCCGCGGGGGCGTTGACCCCCCAAACTCTCTCCAGGTAAACTCCAGGTAACTGTTATTTTTGTCAAAATCAAACCAGACTACAAGTTTACCTCGGTAAGTAATAAAGTCTGTAAATCTGAGCTGCGAGACGTAAGATGATGTGATACTCATTAATTAACAGGTGATGAGGGAGGGAAGAAGGTTAGGACGGAGGGAGGGACGGACGGGGAGAGGGAGGGTGGGCGGATGCGTGGGAGGGTGGAATGGAGGATAGGGAGGAGTAAGGGTGCAACTGAAGACAGATGAGAAGGAAAATTCCTATAGGGATGGAAACAGAGAAGACTGGATATGTGGAACAGACTGAGCGTGGGACGGAGGGCGGATGAATGGAGTAAGAGAGAGAGAGAGAGAGAGAGAGAGAGAGAGAGAGAGAGAGAGAGAGAGAGAGAGAGAGAGAGAGAGAGAGAGGAGAGAGGAGGGGAAGAGGGAGGGGAAGAGGGAGGGGAAGAGGGAGGGGAAGAGGGAGGGGAAGAGGAGGGAAGATGAGGGGAAGAGGGAGGGGAAGAGGGAGGGAAGAGGGAGGGGAAGAGGGAGGGGAAGATGGAGGGGAAGAGGGAGGGGAAGAGGGAGGGGAAGAGGGAGGGGAAGAGGGAGGGAGGAATCCAAAATCAGCTGTATAGTAGCAATGGATATCACTGGCGCTTATGACCAAGAATGACACTAAGGACTCTTGAGAAAAGAGGAAACACTGGGAATCACTGGCTGTTCACTCCACCTCCTTAGTGTTTACCTTCAAGGTAGTTAGTTCTCTAAGAATAGTTCTCAGATGGACAGTGAACAAGGCACTCTCCTAGTGCAAGTGTTCCACAGGGCAGTGTGCTTGGGCCATTATCATGGAAAATGCCGGCTGCTATGTTACATTAATCATCAGCTTACAGCTATATCTGCCAGAAGAAAATGATGGCACGTTTCACTTGTTTTTGAGAAAACCTAATTGATGATGGTCTCTAGGTACCACGATGGTAGTGCTGGAACAATGGTAAGAAGGAATGGATCCAGCCTGAATAGATTTTTTAACTTCAACGGAGCCGTCAATACCAGAGGGATGTGGGTGGCCTTATATATAAGCATAAGGTGAATATTGTTAAGGTACCACACTTGGCTCCACTCCACTTCCTGCCAACTCCATGACTGAAGAAATACTTCCTAACATCCCTTTGATTCATCTGAATCTTCAACTTCCAGTTGTGACCTCTTGTTGCTGTGTCCATCTCTGAAACATCCTGTCTTTGTCCACCTTGTCAATTCCTCTCAGTATTTTATAAGTCGTTATCATATCTTCCCTATCTCTCCTGTCCTCCAGTGTCGTCAGGTCAATTTCTCTTAACCTCTCCTTGTAGG